TGTATTTGTTGCGCTTCTGATTTGAGACATGCTGGTCTCCTGAGTGCCTTTTCAAGATCTCGAATAAACTTGGTTTGCTTCTCCACCCTGGTGTGTCTATTGGTGCGATGCACACCGGGCAACGAACGCTGTTGCCCCCTCGGGCCCACTGGGCCGGCAACAGTGGGAAAGCTAGTGGCTAATCTACCCTTGCGCTCTCACTGTTATCAGCACCTGTAAAGCTGCACCAGTGCTAGAATAACAGTTGAGAGAATTTCTGAAAATCCAGAGTCTTTTCAAGTCTTCTGCTGAAAAGGTGCCACAGTTGGGAAGTGAAATGAATGGAGTGAGAGGGATTTTAGAAGGCTATCGCGAAATTGTGAGATAGGGTTTGTGTAGGGTTGGAAAACAAGCCACGTTTTATATACAGTGATTTCACTATTTAATTTTAAATCTACTGTTTTTGCAGTCTGTGATCATCATCATCAGCATCTCATAGCAGATCCCAACAGGACAGAGCCTCCTTGTAGTTCGAGCACCACCAGATTGATCTCTAGCTATGTCTGCCATGAGCAATCTTATCATGCCACTGAAGTTTCTGGCGAACACATGATCGCCAGACATGTAGCAGCATTCGTTGGTAAACACACTTCCTAATTCAGGAGGCCTCTATCCTAATATAAGACTGTGCCAAGAAAGCTGCTAACAGAGGTGGCTGGTGGATTTAGCTATGGATATCGTCATTGCTGATCTTGTCCTGCCACTTAATATGGAGTAACTGTCAAAGATAGCGAGAATCAAACCCACCAATCCGCCACTCTTCATCCTTCCTCAGCACCCACGTTTTGTGGCTGTCCAGTACAGCGGGTGTAACTGTAGTCCTATAGAGCCACAGCTCATAGCAAGTTCAATGTCATGACAGCCCAAACAGAGGCCGCTGAAGGGCCCGGAACATGGTGGTGGCTGCTGCTATATAAGTGTCTACATTTTTTGAGCCTCCTCCAGAACTGTCTATGATACTGCCCATGTATGTGGCAGTTGCCACCTCCTCAGTGTCATAAACACACAGGTTAATACTTGGCTGCTTGTAATCTGGAGCTGGAGGCTGCTTGATGGTAATGGCCAGGGACTTAATTTGGTCTGGATTGATAACCAGACCAGTGCACTCTGCTTCTTGCCCAAGCAGATCAACCATCAGCTGTAGTGATTCACCAAACTGAGCCAACAAGACAATTTCATCGGTATATTTGAGGTCTCAAAGGAAAATGGTGTTCTTCTCAATGCCTACTGCCTCCTCGAGCTTATCCATCAGCCAGTCAGTGCTGATATTGAACAATGAAGGTGACTCAATGTAGCCTTCCCAAACTCGAACGCAGCTTTCTGTTCCATTGTAGAGCTCTTCAATCAATTAAACTATCTTCCCAGAGATGCCAAGTCACCTCATGGCTTTCACAAGCTTGCTCACTGCACTGAATCCAAGGCCTGATGGAAGTCTATAAACAGTACTGTGCACAGCTTATTAAATTCAGCCAGCTTCTTAAAAAGCTGTCTCAAGGGAAAGATCTGGTTGACAGTGGAACGATCAGGTCCAGAGCCACCCTAAATATCCCAGTCTCTGCCATGAAGTGTATCATTGATTTGAAACATTAACATGGATGATAACAAGAACAGCGTAATACCTCTAGGGTTGCTAAATTCGTCCTTATTGTCCTTTTCTGAAAAGAGGCAGAATAAGTCTGTTCTTCCAGTCATCTTGGATGATATCAGTGCACCAGATGGTCTGGAAGAGCCTGTGCAGCCATAGTACAACAATACTCTCACCTGTCTTCAGCAATTCAGGGATGACATTACAAACCCCTTGTGGCGTCCCAAATTTCAACTTATGGACTGTGATCCAGGTCTCTTGTTGGTTGAAAAAAGGTGGCTGTACCGGAACTTCCTGGCCTATTTCAGTCAGAAGATGCACAGTAGATGGTGGACTGCTGAGGAGTGTCTTGAAATGATCTTCCCATTGATACAACTGATCTTGCAAACTCAGACTGACTCTTCACTTGACAAGCTGGTGCCACCTTCCCCTACAAAGATTGCAAAGTTGAATAGAGGATGTGGAGGTTGTGCCTGGGGACAGCTTGATCTAAACTGGCAGTGTGAGTGGACCACCAGCACAATGACATGATGATGTTTTGCAACTTAAACATAGGGTCAAATGCTGTCTTCAGCTGTGAAGATGGACGTACGCGTACAAATTCACCAGTGGATTATTTTGAGCTACAAGAGCAGCATATTGCAAATCTAAAAGTACACTGTGTCCCTAAGCTTAGTGTAGAAATGGAGAATTTAAAGCCCCAAATATCCAGAATGTTATACACTATGTTGCTGTTTCTCAGATAAATACAGTCACTATCAGAGAAACTCCATTATGGTGTCTTATGTCATCTTGCTCATTTTTATTCTAATAATAAGTGAGTCTTTTGGCCTGCCTATGTTTCCAGTGAAATCAATAGTAAAACTCATATTAAGTTTACTGGGAAAAGGACTGGGGCAGTAGAAGTTTTAGCAGAACTTTTAAGCCTGGTAACATAGTGCAGGGAGAGAGTATATTGGCAGAATGAAACAAAATTAAACACCTTTCTGAAACAATAGGATTATAATAATGCTACCTAAGTGCTGTGTTGCAGCTACCTGTTCTCTAAGGGCCTCAAGACTCTATGCTTAACCCATCTTTCCATATGTTTCTATTTATGGAGAAAGCTGGTGACCTTACAACAAAAGTTTATATATCATGTTTTTCCAGGCTAATGACAGACTGATAAATAGGTCCCAACTATCTGCATGTTCTGGGCCTCATGCCCAGAGAGTTGGGAGGATGTAGATTGTTACAGTTATTCTCTGTGGTAGTTGACATGCAAGTACTATTAGATGTGTTCTTTAAATTTAGAAAAAAAATAAAGACTTGGAAGGAAAATCCAGAAAGTATTTCAGAGGGGCATGTACTTAGACTATGCTTTCTTACAGCTATCACAAATCTTCAGCATAGATGAGAACTACATCATAATAGCTTGTATATACCACTTTTGGATTTCCAAGTACTTTACAAAATAGGGAAACTGAGGCATAAAGCAGTGAAGTAACTTACCCAAGGTCATACAGCAAGTTAGTGGCAAAACCAGGACTATAACTTGGTCTTTTGACTCTGTGACCTGCCTTAACCACTGTGCAAAACAGCTTTTTGCACAGTACACATTTGAGAGAGAGAAAGAGAGAGAGGTGATGTAAGTGTATTTATTCATTGGGATCAGAGGCGGCTCCAGCTTTTTTGCCGTCCAAAGCGAAGGAGAAAAAAAAAGCCGCGATCGGCGGTACTTCAGCTCTACCGCGCCGCTTCATTCTTCGATGGCAATTCGACGGCTGGTCCTTCCCTCTGAGAGGGACGGAGGGACGCGCCGCCGAATTGCCGCCGAGGACCCCGGACGTGCCGCCCCTTTCCATTGACTGCCCCAAGCACCAGCTTCCTGTGCTGGTGCCTGGAGCCGGCCCTGATTGGGATTTTTACAAGGAAAAATTGGTGGAGGGGGGGGCGTTTTCTTTTGGAAAACTTAACAGATTGCCTGATTCTCCCAGTACAAGGATAGAGAAAACTGAGAAAGCTCTGAGGCTAATACAGAATTACTGTGAGGAAAGTAATAAAAGTGGATACGATTCTGGAATTTAAATTTCAGAGCCAGGAAAGGAAATCAATAAATATCTCTTATGAAAGAAAAAAGAAGGCAGATTTAAGTGCTTTTCCCTCCAAGGAGATTTGCATGGAATTTGTGGTATTTTCTCAGAGACATTATGCAGCCAAAACAAAAGGTGGAGAACAGACGTACTGAAAATGATTTAAGACAGGCAAAAATGCCTAAAAATCTGAGGGCACTGGCAGGAAAATTTAGAAGACCTAATTTCAATTTGGGGAAAAGGGACATGCAGTTAAAATGTTTACAATCAGATGAAGTAAAAGATCCGGAGGGACTATTTTGTGAATTCCGTAATTAGTCAGTGGCCTGTCTGGTCATGTAGTAAAGCTATTTAAAACATTTCTACAAGGATGGAGTCTCTCAGATTGTATATAAGAGGAAGAGAAAAATAAATCCAGAGTGTATATAAAGTACTGTGGTGTGCCGAATTCTTTGTGCTACCCACAAATCTTAGAACTGCTCAGTTTTATACAGACAAGGTGGCGTGAGGTAACATCTTTTATTCTGCCTGAAGAAGAGTTCTGTGTGGTTCAAAAGCTTGTCTCTCTCACCAACAGAAGTTGATCCAGTAAAAGATATTGTCCCTCACCCACCTCGTCTCTCTAATATCCTGGGACCAACATGACTACAACACCACTGCAAACAACAATTTTACAAAAACAATGAGAGTCCTTGTGCCACCTTAGAGACTGACAAATCTAAGGTGCCACAAGGACTCCTCATTGTTTTTGCTGATACAAACTAACACGGCTACCACTCCGAAACAATTTACAGACCCCTAAATCAACATGGGGGATAAAAATGTGCTCTGTAAGGAACACATGGGAAATTTTTCCAAAATGAATCATGTTGGAGAACTTCCACCTATTTTTTGTTTTTGAACAGGTTTTCCTAGTTATTTTCAGTGACCTTTCTGCCCTCTTTTTGTGCTAAAGTTCCACACAAATAACAAGAGAAACTACATAACTATACAGGGGAAATAGTAAAAGTGACCGCACAAAATGAAACAATAGGAAAAAATATCTAATTGTTTCCAGTTACAGTAATCTTAGGTATTACTTATAATGATATTAGATACAAAATTTTCAGATGAAAATGTGAGCTTTTAAATTGCTGGTGTCCCATTAAACAGGAATAAATCTATGGTATATAATTATGAGAGCCACTGTGGATCGTATCATGGAGAACGGAGCATACAGTATCAGTATAATTCCATGCAGTGTTAAATATGAGTGTATTAACATTATGTATGCTAACCTTTAATATTGCTTGATTATATTTCAGGATGGACATCTTTTATTTACATGCTGTCTGGCAATCTGTATGTTGGTAAGTTTCCCACTAAACTCTTATTTCAGTTGTTGATAGGGAGGATTTAACTTATTAAAAATTACTGTTCTACAGGAATAAAGGAAGATCAGACCTACAAATAATTTAGATCCCGTACTTAAAAAATCAAAAATAACAAAGGTATGTGGTTTAGCACAGTGATCTGTTAGTGCAAGGGTGGCCAACCTCTGGCTCCGGAGCCACATGCGGCTTTTCAGATGTTAATGTGCGGCTCCTTTTATAGGCACCGACTCCAGGGCTGGAGCTACAGGCACCAATTTTCCAATGTGCTGGGGGGTGCTCACTGCTCAACCCCTGGCTCTGCCACAGGCCCTGCCCCCACTCCACCCCTTCCTGCCCCCTCCCCTGAGCCTGCCGTGACCTTGCTCCTCCCTCCTGCATGCCACAAAACAGCTGATCAAGAGGTGCAGGGAGGGAGGGGGAGGCGCTGATTGGCGGGGCTGCTGGTGGGTGGGAGGTGCTGGGAGCGGGGTGGGGGAGCTGATGGTGGGCTGCTGACATATTACTGTGGCACTTTGGCAATGTACATTGGTAAATTCTGGTTCCTTCTCAGGCTCAGGTTGGCCACCCCTGTGTTAGTGCAATCGTTTATTCTATGCACTTCCACTGGGTATCAATACACGTGCAATTTATATGATCAGGTTTTAATAAAAAGTAGCCCAAAGAACACATTTACATTAAGAGATTATAAATGTTCAATATATTTTTTTCAGATCTGTTTGACAACGTAATAAAACTGACTATGGCCCCTGTCTGGCAAGCTGTTCTATGTAGGCCAACTCCTATGCCTTCACAGAGTCCTCATGGGGCTTCACACAGGTGCAGGCATCCACCCATATAAGGCAACTTGTATGCTGTGCTCATTAAAATGGGCTTTATAGCAAAATGACATAGACATTGTCTCGAGCAAATCAAGGAATATGACTAGTGTAACATTCCATCTCTTTAATTTTTTTTAAACAAAGACTAGTCAGTTGATAATAATCTCTAGCTCTTATATAGTAGTTTCATTAGTAGCTTTTGAAGCATTTTACAAATGGGGAAACTGAGGCACAGAGAGCTGCTGTGATTTGCCCAAGGTCATTTTGCAAGCTAATGGTAGAGCTGGGAAGAGAACCCAGGTTTCCTGAGTCCTAACCCACTGGTCTGTCCAGTGAGCCATGCTGCTTCCCATAAGTGGGCCCTCTCTCCTTCAATCTTTTGTGAGTGGTTCCAGCTGCTGGATCCCATATGCTTCTAGGCCAACTTGGTCTGGGAAGAGCAGGTCACTGTTCCTAGCTCTGGATCTCTAAGGCACATTCTTGGGTGAAGAACCTTTGCCTGACACCCTTCGCTGGGACATGGGGCTCTACAACCCGGCCACAATAAACCACCAAATCACTGCCTCAACCCTTCCAAGCCCCCAGTTGCTTATTCACAGTGCCTCAGAGTTCCACCTTGCTGTGGGCACGCTGACCTTCTTTCAGAGGCAACATAGCAGGCAAGGGATACAAGCTTAGCAAAGGAATTTCTTAACCACAATCACTTTTAGGTAAGCACTGTAGAGTTACAGATCTTTGCAATGTAACTAACAGTCCTGAGACACAGTCTGTTCTAGACTATTCTCAGCATTGCTGAGGTCTGGTCAGCATTTCAGGCTGGGCACCCTCTCCTGTCTTTTCTGTCTCCAGACCAGTCTTCTGGCATGTGGTGGTGGATAGTCCCCTTCTCATACAACACTGACCTCTTAAATACGCCCTCTGATGCTGTTTTGCGATGTGCTTATGATGAGTGTAACTGTTAACAGTAGGCTAACTTTTGGCTTTTCCCCAGGCCTATGCAAGGGGCAGCACATAGTTACACTGCGCCAGGAGCAGACCAGGAGCCAGATTGAATGAGTGTCCCAATCTGGTTCCTGGCTGGCCCTCTTGCTCAGGGGACAAGGGGAGGTATCCATGTCAGCCCTCAGGCACAGATTACTTCCCCGTGTGCCAGCTCAGCTACGTTGGCTGGTGCAATGTGTGTATGGAGTCAAAGACCCTCCCATTCCATGCTCTTGCCCATATGTGCAAAAAGGGGAATAACGTCATGGAGACAGCTATCCCCTGTGTTGTAACCTTCCAGATGTGTTGCTCATGCAGGGGTGTGCAGGAGTGTCTTACATCACCTCCCCACTCCCTTTTGCAGGTGTGCTTAGGGCAAGTCACAACCTTGCTCTATATTGGCAACCAACAGAAAAAGAATAAGACTTGATAGCAGTATAAAGTTTGACTGCATGTCATGTGGTGATTCCAACTGAATATTTTCATTCAGTTGGTTTGGGTGATATACCTTATAATACTAGAAATTGCGGACTCTTTTAATTCTTAGCTCCAGAAAAAAAAAGAAATAAACCCATTGGGGAATACATAAACAGTAGCTGAGATAGTCACACTCTGAAAATACTATAATGTAAATGTAGAATCTGGTTTTTCGGGTTGCTTTTCCTTTTCTTTTACAAATGTTTAGACAGCCAAATCTAACAACACTTGCAGCAGTTTTTCAGTGGGCCTTTTGTGAACAGCACTGTTAGAGTTAGCATTCTTGGCCAAGGTCAGTGATGGAAAATATTTATCTGATTTGGCTGTGTTTATAACTGACAGCCATTTTAAAAGCATTTTTTTCTTTTAAAACTTACTTTGTTTAATTAAAGAAAAATAATTATATTAATAAAATACCAGAGAAATCAGCTGTGAACTTAGGCACTATCCTCTTTCCTGCTACTTGTCAGCCCTTTTGCAAACATTTTACACCTAGTCTTTTTTTGCAATATTGGAAAATAAAAGTAAGATGTTATAAAATTTAGTCAAGGGCCTATCATTCAACTATGAAGCCAGAAATTGCTAGAACAGGAACAAAACATATGGATTACATCTATGTCTGTACTTCATTTTAAGTGATCCTTCAAATCACAACTTTATGGCTCCCATCCGTGCACTATGAAAATGAGTGGGAAGGAGCAATAATCCCATATAAAGTCAGACGTGCAGTGGTAGACTTGTGCTAGTCAGGTCTAAATTCTGATTCCCTGGAAGAACAGTAGGAGAGAAATCACCTAGGAAGTCTAATAGGTCATTCTTAAAAGGATGCTGATGCTATGTTCAGAATATGGGCCACTTTAAACTTTATTTTATTGCTTTGCAAAGTCCAATTCAGTTTTCAAAATGAATGCTTCAGTGTTCTTTCTGTGTATAAGGAACAAATTGGTTCCAGCAGTCTAGCACTCATTGAATATCAGACTACAGTGTGCACACAAAGGAACACAGATGAGCATATTCACTATCCTTGTATAGCTGCCCTCTCAGCGTTGCTTGATAGCTTGTAAGGAATTTCAGCTCTGTCTTTCCATATGACACATGGTGACACATCCTTTTCCAATTTCTTCATGATTTTGTACCAGTTAACCAAGCCTACAAGAATTACATTAATTCCAATATACAAATGTTGTTTGTCTGAAAAAGGTTCAGTACAATTTCTTTTGTCCATTTTTAAAGCCCTCCCGATGTTGAAGTGCTTAGAAATGTCAGTTCAAGAAAATAAAGTCATTTCTTACTCCTACCATAATTCAAGGTGTTAGTTTTGTAAATTGTTCTCACCCTGCAGCTTACAACTAACTAAAAAGTCCACAAATCAGGTAGGGACAAGAGTTTGGGATAAGGGTGTGGGTGGGGGAAGTCTTCAAATCAACCAGAAAAGCCAGATCACATCCTGTGTATCTGTGACTAATAGTCTTTCAAGGTGAAGAGGCCCCACATAAGGTCCTATTCACCACTTAGATCCCTCTTAAGACCAATATTAAAGGTGTAATTGAGGCCTAAGTGCAGGGGTGAAAGTAAAGCCGAAGACAAACCAGTACGGGGACCGGCTCCATCCCTCAGAAGGGGCGGGGCCTTGGGCGGAAGGGGCGGGGCTGTGGGGGTCAGCGTCCCTCTGCCAGCCCTTCCACGCTGCCTGGCCCATGCTGCCTGGGGCTCCAGCGGCAATTCAAAGGGCCCGGGGCTCCGGCCACTGCCGTGGAAGAAGCAGTGGTGGCCAGAGCCCTGAGCCCTTTTAAATCGCCAGCCCTGGAGCAGCTGCTTCTTTTGCACTCCCATGTCGGTGGCCCTGCCGGTAGGGTCCTGGCAGGGCCGCCGATGGGGGGCGCAAAAGGGGCAGCGACTTTAAAGTGCTACTGTGGCAGCGCTTTAAGCAGGGTCCTAAGTCAGCTGGGTATGGGCCAGTACTGGCAGCCACTTTTTACCGGTACACTGTACCGGCTTACTTTCATCCCTGCCTAAGTGGTAGGTAGGGCCCTGTGAGGGACTGCTACAGTGAGGGTGAAATGCACTCTTAAGCTCAATAAAAATCCTATTTGAATATGTACCAAAAAGCTTTCATAGGAATATGACTTAAAATTCCAGGCACTCCCCTCCTCCATGTCTCTTTTTTGATCCCTTTTATTAACATGTGTGTTAACACTGGTGCAGTTTTCAATATTTTCTGTCCAACACCACCATATTACAACAGAAAAAAGGTTAGGGACTCTTCTCTCTCCCCTCGCATGTAGACATAAAGAAAAGGAGGGCGGCCATCACCTCCCAAGCCTGTTTGCAATCCCTAGGTTGAGAACTCACGTATTAGTGTATCAGATGCATTTACCTCCATCACACTTCTTCTCTCAACTGGATAGTACTCTAATCCCTATGGCCATGGTGTATCAGAGGATGCACATAATGAACTTGACAGAGGCGGAGAAATGGCCTTTGTTCATCTGCTGCAGAAAGGAAATTAAAAGTAAAAGACAAGTGGGGTGGACAGAGGGTATGTGTGAAAGGCAGAGTGAGAGTGTTAGAGGAAGATGAATTAAAGAAAAGCATGCGTATTCTTAAGTAAAATAGCTCTCAGCAGAAAGGATGACTAATCATTTCATAATTTGCAGCTTTGATTGTGTCATGCATTGTCTTTTTACATATCTGGTCTGTTCAAAGGATCTGATGATGCCCAACAGAAAATCGAACCCCATCACACAGCGGTGTTGGACGATGGTGACTGTGTTCAGTTAGAAAACAAGGTAATCCTTACCTGTCCTCATGCTTGGAGCTTATAACTCAATTCTGTAGAAGATTTTGGATGAGAATTATTAACTTTATTTCTTTGATTGGTATTTCCATCACACCTCCCCCCTGTCTTTTAATGCACAGAATGTGCAAACATACCATAAGAAATGTTAGGACCAGGAAGAGGCCAGGCATCCGAGAATGCATGTCCTCTTCATAACTGGTCTTAAAACTGTTTTCTTATTTTTTCACTGTACATTAATTTCCCCCTTGCACTGGAAACACATCTAGATTAGAGGTGGAATCCTAACTGGGGAGCTTTGCCATTGACTTCAGTGAGGCCAGGATTTCACCCCAGTTTGTTTCAGCTCCTTTATAATCTGAAAATTCTAACTGGGTCAAAGTGAAGTGTCCCCTTTCCCAAAGAAGGCAAAGCTCAATTTCATTAACCCTAAAAAAACAGATAATCATAGAATCATAGAAGATTAGGAACAGACCTCAGGAGGTCTTGAGAACATGACCTATGAAGGAAGGCTGAAAGAATTGGGTTTGTTTAGTTTGGAAAAGAGAAGACTGAGAGGGGACATGATAGCAGTTTTCAGGTATTTAAAAGAGTGTCATAAGGAGGAGGGAGAAAACTTGTTCACCTTAGCCTCTAAGGATAGAAGAAGAAGCAATGGGTTTAAACTGCAGCAAGGGAGGTCTAGGTTGGACATTAGGAAAAAGTTCCTAACTGTCAGGGTGGATAAACACTGGAATAAATTGCCTAGGGAGGTTGTGGAATCTCCATCTCTGGAGATATTTAAGAGTAGGTTACATAAATGTCTATCAGGGATGGTCTAGACAGTATTTGGTCCTGCCATGCGGGCAGGGGACTGGATTCAATGACCTCTCGAGGTCCCTTCCAGTCCTAGAATCTATGAATCTAATCCAACCCCCTTCTCAAAGCAGGACCAACCCCAACTAAATCATCCCAACCAAAGCTTTGTCAAGCAGGGCCTTAAAAACCTCTATGGATGGAGAGTCCACCACCTCCCTAGGTAACTCATTCCAGTGCTTCACCACCCTCCTAGTGAAATCGTTTTTCCTAATATCCAACCTAGACCTCCCCCACTGTGACTTGAGACCATTGCTTCTTGTTCTGTCATCTGCCACCACTGAGAACAGCCTAGCTCCATCCTCTTTGGAACTCCCCTTCAGGTAGTTGAAGGATGCTATCAAATCCCCCCTCACTCTTCTCTTCTGCAGACTTAGTAAGCCCAGTTCCCTCAGCCTCTCCTCGTAAGTCATGTGCCCCAGCCCCCTTATCATTTTTGTTGCCCCCCGCTGGACTCTCCAATTTGTCCACATCCTTTCTGTAGTGGGGGGCCGAAAACTGGACGCAGTACTCCAGATGTAGCCTCACCAGTGCCGAATAGAGGGGAATAATCACTTCCCTCGATCTGCTGGCAGTGCTCCTACTAATTCAGCCCAATATGCCATTAGCCTCCTTGGCAACAAGGGCACACTGTTGACTCATACCCAGCTTCTCGTCCACTGTAGTCCCCAGGTCCTTTTCTGCAGAACTGCTGCTTAGCCAGTCGGTCCCCAGCCTGTAGCAGTGCATGGGATTCTTCCATCCTATGTGCAGGACTCTGCACTTGTCCTTGCTGAACCTCATCAGATTTCTTTTGGCCCAATCCTCCAATTTGTTTGTGTCACTCTGGACCCTATCCCTACCCTCTAGCGTATCTACCACTCCTCCCAGTTTAGTGTCATCTGCGAACTTGCTGAGGGTGCAATCCACGCCATCCTCCAGATCATTAATGAAGATGTTGAACAAAACCATTCCCAGGACTGATCCCTGGGGAACTCTGCTTGATACCAGCTGCCAACTAGACATCGAGCCATTGATCACTACCCATTGAGCCCGATGATCTAGCCAGTTTTCTATCCACCGTATAGTCCATTCATCCAATCCATACTTCTTTAACTTGCTGGCAAGAATACTGCCGGCAAGTTATAATCCCCAAGTGAGCATTTCTCGGCTGTTGGAGAGCCTCTGGTGAGTAGGGGGTGATGATGAAATGAGGTGTGGCTGCTGGGAAGTAGGCCCAGTTGAGAACCTGGCCTGATGTGAATCTTAATCAACCCCATCTATATCCTATTGAGATCATCCTGCCTTCTTGCTGTGTTCTGACTCCACCTTGGGTTCAGTCCCACTCCTCGCTCACACTGAGAACAATCATGGGGTGGGCAGTGTGTGTGGCAGAGACTGAGAATGGGAAGTGATACACACGGAATCCAGAGTTGCTTGTGCTCAGATACAGGCTGGTGGGTGAGTGAAGGCTCTCTCTCTGCTTGGAGGGGACCTTCTTCTAAAACTCAAGGACAGGAATTTTGAAAAACAACAAGGAGTCTGGTGGCACCTTAAAGACTAACAGATTTATTTGGGCATAAGCTTTCGTGAGTTAAAACCTCACTTCTTCGGATGCATCC